AACACAAAAGAGAGATAAGGCCCCGAAAGACTGGGGCTCACCAACAGCTGATACGAGATGTCCTAACAAGCAGAATCGTCAACCTGAAAATCGTTACCTGCATCGCGAGATGCAGGCCCTGGGCAAAAGGGACGTCAGTACATTTGAATTTCACTGGTATGTAAAATAGCTGAACAAAAGAGCTATAAATACTGAAACTGAAACTGAACTGCTAGCTGATAAACTGATAACTGAACAAGGAAGTAAAGATATAAATACCCCCTCTTCTGAATGATGAACAACCTGTTTATCTGATAAGCTATGGGCTCGGGCCCAATATATATACATGTGCACAAGCTACGGCCTCAGGCCCAAGTATACGTATATATAACTACGGCCTCAGGCCCAAAAATGCATAAAGCATAAACTACGGCCTCAGGCCCAAATACAGGTGTTCAACATTCAGGAATTTAGAATCAGGAACTAAGAATCATACTGTAATAAATGATACTGAAATAATGAGCCATACCAAGTGACATGATACTGTAATAGTGAATAGGATTAGACTGAGATGAATATTCATAATAAGTTGATCTGTCATAACTGAGACTCATAGAATATCTAATGATTATGAAACTATGCCATCTAGAGAATAGAAGTTCTACTACTATTCAGGGAACTAGGTCATAGTTACTTTCTGAGGAAACTGGTAAGGGTCATAATGAATATGACGTAGGGAGAATCATAGACATTCCCAAACGTAAAGAGTTGGACTTACATACCTTAACTTCCGGGCTCTTGAGCGTAATACAACGTTTGTCAACCCTTTCAACTTTAATCTATAGCAATACAAGTCAAAGGGATTCCATATTAGCTATAATGCTCATATTTTGGTCACTTAAGCATTTTATCAAACACTTGGTGAAAATAAAGCTTCATAGTCCTTATTAACGGTATCTCTACACCCAACAACCCATTTCCTTGCCCATAGATAAATTCTAAAGTCTCAAATGGTTGTAATCGATATTATTCTTTATCACCCATAAGCTAGACAACACCCTTAACAAATAATCAACACTCAACACCCCAAACCTATAATCGTTCATGCTTTTCTATCAAACACATCAACTCATATCTCATGAACTAGGGTTTATAATCATTAAACCAATGTTAAAATCAATTAGAGGGTGAAGACATTACCTTTTCGAAGTTCAAACCCTTGAATTTCGAGTTCTAGGCTTCCTTCTCTCAACAATGATGACCCAATCGAATATATAATGATATAGAGGGTTTACCCATGTTAATAAGATATTGGAAAATTTAAATTAACTTAAAATCACCATTAGAACTTACCTTGGGTGGTGGAAGGACCCTTAAGGAGTTAGGTTTTTGAGAGTTCCCCTTTCTAGAGCAAGTTTTTATGTTTTGGGGCTGTGGGGGACGAAATATAGCTTTAAAATGACCCCCCACTAGCGCGATCACGCATCTGGAGGCTTGTTCGCGCTAGTGGTCACGCTAAACGGCAGTAACACTGCCTCCCACTAGCGCGATCGCGCACCTGGAGGCTTGTTCGCGCTAGTGGTCGCGCTACCGGGCGTGCATACGCGTACTGTTCTGAAAAATGCACATAACTTTTTGCACAGAGATCCGTTCGGGCTCCATAATATATCGTTAGAAAGCTATTTCAAATGTCTATAACTTTCATGCTTTGCGTTTTCCCCAAAGCATTACACATTTTCACTAAAACTTAATGGAAGACAGACCTTCTGCAAACTTAGTCGATTTTGTCAAATCTTATGCACCTCTCTTTCCATCTTGATTTTTGAAACAACTATTTTACCCACAATCATCCCGTTGGGACTTCACATGTTCAAAATATAACCTTACCACTCATTTACCACATTCACACCTAAGCCGAATTTACGGGATGTTACAATTTTAAATATTGAATGGCTTACTACAATATCAGAAGAAGAATCTACGGAAATTATGGATGAAAAGTTTTTCAACATCTTGAAAGGAAAGTTGATAGAATCATGGAGAAGATCTATTATTTTGTGGAAGAAAAATACTACATGGAAAAGATACTACAAGACCAAGGAAGAATATATTTTCTATGGAAAGAAAATGTATTATGGATGTAGTACAATCTATATTATGGAAAGATTATTTTCCAAGATCAAGAAAGGAATATTTTCAATATAATATGAGAAGAATATATTTTCTATGGAAAGAAAATATTTATATTATGGAAGATTATTTTTCAAGATCAATATTTCCAATAGGAGTTCAAAGATGCTACTATTATTTATGGGAATATATTATTACTACATTTCCTCTTTGGTGTGGAAAGAGAATAATGTATGGACATAAGTTTGAGTTCATATAAAGAATGACTATTGCTCTTATGGAAATTCATGAATATTGAATCAAGACTATGGAAGGATGAAGAACGATGCACATGGAGATGCAACAGAAATTAATTATGAAATGCAAGATTTTCTAAAGAAGATCAACCAAGATATTGCATCTAAATAATGAGTGAATATTCTACTACCATAAAAGGAAAAGAATCCTCTACATAAGAATTCTCATGCTGGTACTCGATGAAGATCTTATATATTCAAGAAAGGAAAGTGGAGACAGGTAAGATCTGTCCAAGTAAAAGAAGTCAAACAAGGAAAGAAAATCAATGTTGCAAATATGCCTATGGTATATCCATCGTCAAAGGAGTGCCAAGTCAACATACTATCCATATTCATACAAGTGCTGGAACTGCAAATTATGAAAATAAATATTGGAGCAACTGTCAAATTTCCTTGGGTTATGCAATAGCCAGAACAAGTTGAAAGGGCTGTAAATATACAGTCTCTATGAAGGAAGAATGTACGCAACCTTCTATAAAATTGTCTACCCAACTACAAGTTCTTTATTCTACTCTTAACAAGCATTGTAATTCACTTTTAGATTTACTGTGTACACAAAAAAGAGAAGAGAGACAAAAAAATATTGGAGAGGCAGTGTGTCCGAGAGGTTGTGTCATTGTTCGTTTCTTTGGTGAGCGAGTGAAAACCAAAGGGTCGTTGTTGGTGAGCAAGTAAAAACCAACTCTTGTTCGTTGTTGGTGAGCGAGTGAAAACCAACCCTGTCAACATTGGTGGTGATCGCTGAAAACCACAAAGGCTGTACTCAATTCAATTGACAAAGAGCTCTAAAAGACAACACTCTTGCAACCCAAGAGGACTGGATTAGGATACCACATTGGCTCTGAACCGGTATAAAAATTTTGGTGTCATTTACTTTATCGCTCTCATATTATATTCTGTTCCTTTACTGTTTATTGTGATTAACACTTGTTTAAATCGAAAGGACTAACAGTCCTGTGCAGGTTGTCTCCGCATAAGTCGACTAGGTCTGAAGAGTAGTCAACTAGAAATTTAAAAAGGCTAAAATTCCCCCCCCCCCCCCTCCCCCCTCTTGTACTTTTTCATATCATCTAAAAGCTTAAGTCGTTAGAGAGAACACACTTCTATGTACTGAATTATGTCTTCTATGTAGACCTTACCCCTACCTTGTATAGGTAGAGAGACTGTTTCTAATATACCCTTGGCTAAAGGAAAGAAAAATCACATCAATTATAAAAAAGAAATATTGTAGTGTAAAAGTAATACTCCATCTGTTTCAATTTAGATGAGGTTGTTTGACTTGGCACAGAGTTTAAGAAGAAAAAAAGACTTTTGAAACTTATAGTCTTAAAAACTTAAGAGGTAAAAGCTTTATGGAGCCATGATATTTGTGTGATTATAAAAGCTTCTCATTAACGGTATAATGAGTAAAATGAAGAATTTAAAGTTAATATATTTTCAATTGTAGAAATATTTCATTCTTTTTTAAACGAACTATTAAGGAAAGTGTGTCATCTAAATTGAAACAGAGGGAATAGAAAGGAAGCAGTAACAATAGCTAGATAATAAGATAGCCGAAGTAAAAGCAAAAACATGTAGTAAAAAAAATCTAAAAATAAGAAAATACTACAATAATACTAATACTTCTAGTGTGGAAGAAAAATACGCTTGACTACCTATTAATCTTCTATTCTAATACTCTGACTTCCACATCCCCTATTAAGGGTCATATTCTCGTAAGCGAAAGAAATTATATCATAAAACAAATGCAAAAAAAAAAAATATTTAAGAAATTAAAACAGAAAGTTATGGACCAACATGTTTTTCAATGTTTATTTCATAAGATAGAAAATATTTTGGGAGAAATTCAAAAATAGCCAGATTTACAAGTGGTCATTGAAAAATAGCCAAAGTTTCAAAAGTAATTGAAATTTAGCCACTTTTCATGTAAAGATAAATCTGAACGAAAACAATGTTCAAAACCCAGAAAATATTCCAGCATAATATACTAGAATTCCAGCATAATATACTAGAGTTCCAGTATAATATACGGTCCAGCATAATATGCTGGAAGTACATACACAAGTGCTCCAATCTCCAATATATTATGCGAAACTTTCCGCGTGTTGGAGTTCCAGCATAATATGCTAGAAGTTCATACACAGGTGCACTAATCTCCAATATATTATGTTGGAACTTTTTGTGTTGCAGCAAAATAGTGGCTATTTTTCAATGATCTTACAAACGCTAGCTATTTTTTAATTACCAATCCGAAAACTGGCTAGCCCGTACTATTTTTACAAATATTTTTCATCAGGAAAGTTAGAAGAACTTGCCGCACTTATGAGCTATAATTATTCTAACAACAAAAAAAACGATAATTATTTATTTATAGATGTTCCTGCTATTATTTAATTTAACCCTTTAAAATAAAGAAATATCATCGAAACATACCAACTATTACCAAGTACCTAGCTAACGCCGAACAATGGCAACAGGAACTAACAAGAAGCAACTAGAAGCTCCCATCTCTAGCAGCAGGCTGGACACTTCTCAAAAAACAATGCCAACACTAATTTTTTCATAACACGTGGCGATCATATATATACTCGACACTTCTCAAAAAAGCACTCAACATCTCAGTTATCAAAACGAAAAAGAACGAGTAAATAGTGCAATTAGTACAAGCAATAAACAGAGCAAAAAGCTAAACCGTGTAGATCAGAGCCAAATTGTAGGAAGCAAAAAACAGAGGAAGATGGAGAAAAAGAATGAAGCATTAACAGTTGAGAAACTAACACAAATAGAGAAGTGGCTAAGGAAGCACAAATTGCAGTACACTACAGCCACCAGACACCCTTTTATTAATAGCATACATGATGCTTCTATCGACTTCTCTTCCTTCAAGATATGGCTGGTAATTTAATTAAGAATTCAACTTTTATATATTAGTTTTGTGAAAGTTTTTTACACTATCACTATATATAGTTTAACGTGTTGTAGCTTTACATGTTTGTAGCAAATAACTTGTTTTATCTTTCAAGTTACTAAGTTTATCTTTCATGAACTATTTAGTTATCGTTTAAGTGGTTAGAGTTAAAAAATCCTTTATGCTAAGTGCTAAGGGGTCGTTTGGTAGAATATATTAGGGAAAGTAATAGTACATGTTTTAGCTTTGATATTATTAATCCCTTGTTTCTAGTGTCGTTTAACCTATCTATAACTAATATTTGTATTAGTTACCCACCTCAGCATTAGCAATACCATAATTTTTATTATTTTTATACATAGAAAATCATGGCAGCCATAACTTTTAATAGATGGATGAGCATGTATAAGAACATAATTGCCCTTTTAAAACCTTTAATACACAAACTAAACAGTCGATAAGAACTAATCCCAGTATTACTAATTTTAGCATTATTAGTACACCTTATTCAGTATTATTCTTATATACCTTACCAAACGACCCCTAATGATATAGTGTATAAAAGTTAAATTCTCAATAATTTAATTATCTCCTCTTTTTTTTCCATGTGTATGATGATTAAATTGATATAGGTTTCTTAACTTTTTTGTTTTTGTTTTTTAATATCTAAAGTGAACCAAATTAAAATGCAGGGAAGGGAATATGTGTTTGTGAAAACGGCGTTGGCACCATTTGCAGCTAGTGTATTGCTTAAAGCTTGGAAGGAGTCCGAATATAGCTCTGACGTAGAAGTCATGTTGGCTGAGTTAACCTATTTGAATGACAAAATATCATGGTTAAAAGAAGAAGCTCCCAAGTGGCACATTTCCTTGACCAGTGTTGTTGTTGATCACAACCCCATCCTTGATTACTTTAGGTATTATATATACTAGGGAATACTAGAAATCTTGCAGCAATAAAATAACTATATAATGTAGTATATAACTCTTATACGTTATTAAGAGAAATTCATTATGTCATATACACCTGAAGTTTATAGTTTAGCGTGACAGTGGATTAGTCATCATCTCCGATCAAGTTACTCACTAATGTTTGTCGTCATAGAAATTTACTTAATAATTAATTTATAAGTGATTTATCTAATTATGTAAATATTTTTTGTAACGTCAATGCATAAAAAAAAAAAACTTGAAACTTGAAACTCGAAAGACATTACAGGATAAGGTTCAAATTTATTAGGCGAAAATTTCCTTAGTTTAAAGTTTAAACTAGAATCAATTAAATTAAGTGACATGACAAGTGGTGTGCATTTATTCGCTTGTAGTGGCTATAAATAATAAGTGGTGTATATTCACTCACTTATTGAAGAAGTTAATTTTATCATCTTTTGTTTATTAAGTATGGTTTCATCTAAATTTATGGGACAGGTTTTTTGAACGTTTGACGAGCTCAGACGAGAAGTATACAGAGGCAGTAACCATTTTATGGGCAGTGGAATCAGTATATCACTATGGTTTTGCGCATTGTTTGAAAGAAGGCAATAGCACTCCAGAAGAAATGAAGGCAGCTTGTAAGAAATGGGCCAACGAGAGTTTCAAACAACATTGTCAATCCCTTGAAACCATAGCTAATAACAGGCTAGAACAGGCCTCGGAGGAAGTAGTTTCAAAGTCCGAGGTTTTGTTCCTCGAGTTACTTGAGAATGTGGTTGGTTTCTGGAACATGAACCTTGGTTGAAACTACGTTTGTTCAGTATTAGTCCAACGTTTATTGGATTTTGAGGAGCATGCAGATCTTATCGCTACGTACCTTCTTGTTGTGTTGATCTACTAATTTCCCTGCACAGCATGTTGGAATCGAGTCAAAAAATTGAATGTATTTGGGTGTGTAATTAAGTACATGCATGGAACATAAGTATAGTAGTGTACTGTGTTGTTGGTTAACAGTGAGATTGTGGCTTCCCTTTTCATCATTTTCCTTTGGTTTTTCCAATAAAATTCATGGGACCGTCTTTTACCCTATCAAAATTGTAATTTGTGTGTACCATTGATTCTTGAGCCCTCATGTCGGACTAAATGAGGCTATTCTTTATCCTATCAAAATAGTATGTACTAGTGATTCTTAAGTCCTCCCGAAATTCACGTCGTGATTGTAGGTCCGTTGCGGCTATTTCGCTCTTTCTGTTACTAAATTATACCGATATTATCTCGAAGTATGCCCTTTTCTGATCTCGCTGAGTGATATCGACTTCGATCTTGGAAAGGAACTTTGACCCGAGCTCGACGTCCTGACCTTCCGACACGGTATCACTTTTAAAAAAAAATGGTTTAAAAAAATTGAAAAAAAAATTTATTTTTGTAAAAAATGAATTATTTTTGTAAAAGCTGAAAAAAATAGAAGTCTTTACTAAATTAGCGGACTATTGGTGCATTAGTTTAAAAAAATAAAAATATTTTGCAAAATATTTTTCTTTAAGTTTTACAAAAAAAATAATATAAGGGAACTAAAAAAGTGGATAAAGGGGTATTTTAGCTCAATAAATGGATAAAGAATATTTATAAACCTTTTCCAATAGTTTAGGGTCATTTTGAACCCTTTTCCTTTCTGAGAAAGAAACACTCCTCAATTTTCGTTAAGAAAAATTCTCTGTCTACAACTTTTTTTGGAGCCGTTATTAAGGTTTAGGCGGGTCAACACTTCCCTGCCCCGACCCACCCCATTTCCATATTCCTACCGTGCCTCGAATTTTCCACCCTTCTCAAAGAAAGAGCAATTAGTCCCCGTGGCAAGAAAAGTAGAACAAGTAGGAAATGGAAGGAGCTAAAAAAGAAATTCCGATGATCGAAAAATGGCTGAATCAACACCATCAGCTATATACCGCTGCCACAAGACACCCATTTACTCTGAGCATCCGTGATGGATCTGTTGAACTCTCTGCCTTCAAAAGATGGCTGGTAATTCTTTTTCTCTAAATTTTTAAGCATTTTAAAATAATTTGCTTTGTATTTATTAAGATTAAAAATTACATCTGATGTTTGATATATATATAGAGAGAGAGAGAGTAAGAACAGTATATACTAAAGTCTATCCAACTACCTATAGAGAATCTTGCAATTAAGGGAAGTTAAGTTTATCTACTACTATGTAATAAAAAAATTTAGGAACAAAGATCTGACTAGGTGAACAACTAGTAAAAAACTGTAAATGAATTAGGTTTTAAGATAAAGTAATTCTATAATAATCCCTCTTAGTGCATGCTTAGTCGATGACTCAAATTGCTGCTCTGAAAAATTTAAAAGGTTTAGGCTATATTAAAGCCTCTGTGATTATATTGAATGTAGTGATAGGTAACTTCAATATCTTTTGTTCGCGGCCTAAAAATTGGATTGAAGGCGAGCTTGATGGTGCTTTACTGTTTTGTTAATTTGCCAATCTAATGCATATCTCCTAACAAACCTCTCAACCACATACATTCTAGGCAGCCATAGTTGCAGAGGCGGATGTAAAATGGTGGTACCGGGTATATCTGAACCCAGTACTTTTGACGCAGACCATGTAAATTTATGTATAAAAATCCGTTAGAATGGCAAAAGGTTACTAGGTACGAACCCATAACTTTAAACATATAACGGGCTCAATGCTAAGAACCTCAAAGATTGAACCCATAGAATTTAAATCTTGAATCTGCCAGATAGTTGCTGCCACATATTCAGCGAACTCACAACCAGACTTGATGGGGCTCTTTTTGTTTCTGTATTTGAGCTTTAACCATATTCTACCAGTCTGACAATTTGCTTCTGTTTTGGTGTTTCTGCAACTGAATTATGTTCCATGTTGTGTTCGGTTTCTTCCTTGCAAGCTCATGCAGTTTTCTATCAGTTAAAGATTAGAAGTTGGATGCAGGGCCAAGATTATATATTCGTTAGAGCCTTTGTCCCTTTCGTAGCAAGTTTACTGGTGAAAGCTTGGAAGGAATCGGACGATGATTCAGACATAGAGGTTATCCTAGGCGGTGTCGCCGCACTGAATGATGAGATATCATGGTTCAAGAGAGAAGCGTCTAAGTGGAGTGTTTCACTGTCCAGTATCGTTCCTCAAAAGGCCAACCTGGAATATTGCAGGTATAAAGTGCACTATTATAAATACAAGATATGACACATTTTTTGTAATTAGGCCAATCTCATTTTGGTGGTTCTTAGTTATCCCGCTACTATAATCTCTATGCTTTTATCATGTTTTTGTGTTCAACGTGATATAGGTTGTCTTATGTCTATCTATTATAGTCATCCTTTTTCTTAGAAAGCTGTTGAGAATTTAATAATTCTAATTTGACAACACCTGAAGATGCATATCAGCCCCGATTGGTTTATATCCTACTACTATTCCACCTTTCTTATTTAACAACGCAGGTTTTGCTTAGCTTTTTTCACGCCCCGGAGAATTTAATCATGTACTCTGGCTAACTGGTCAAATTTATAGACTTTTTAGGATCCTCTGAACTTGTTTTCAAGCTCCTAGTTTTGCTTCTATGTTAAAGTTCATTGATATCATATGTAGTTGCTTTTGCTGTTAATATGGGAACAATAAGCAAATTTAAATTGTTCAAGCATTGCATTAGAATCAGTCTGCAGTTTTTTATTTTGTAACAAAAGATAAGATATGAAATACATATCATGTTTTAGTTGTGCCTAAGCAATTCCCTTACCTTCTCTTTCCTAGTAAGCTAAACCAATATCAGAGACATGTTTTGTTGTCCTATTTCCCTTATATACAGTTGTTTGATCAAGTCTTCCATAGGGATTTTCTTTTGATTGCCTGTGTCTCTTTGTTTGCTAGATTTTTGGAAAGCCTAATGAGCCCTCAAGTAGAATATACTGTTGCCGTTACAGCTTTTTGGGCAATTGAAACTGTCTATCAAGAAAGTTATGCGCATTGTTTAGCAGATGGCTCAAAAACTTCAGAAGAACTAAAAGAGACTTGTCAAAGATGGGGCAATGATGATTTTGGTCGGTATTGTCGGTCTCTTCAAGATATAGCTAATCGTAGTCTTGAGAAGTCACCTGAAGATATCATCTCAAAAGCTGAGGCAATTGTTATACGTGTACTAGAGTATGAAGTTGAGTTTTGGAACATGAGTCGCGGGGAAAATTGAGTACCTCTTGACTGACCGTGAGTCGTTAGGTAAACTGAGTTCCAGTGGTTTAGAAGTCTATTCCATCTATAAACTAGGACGATATGTTGTACTCTATATAGAAAACATGCTAACAACTTATAGCAAACAATTGTACTTTGGCATGTTTTTGGCCTCACTAGGATCACTCTTGGAAGTGTGTTTTTCATGCATTTATGTGAATTTTATTGGGTGAAAGGAGCAATCTCTCTATAAAAAAAATAGATTAAACATAGTGGGGACTGGGGAGGATAGTATATACACAGATCTTACCCCTACCCTTGCAAGTTAGAGAGGTTGTTTCGGATAGATCCTCGGCCCAGGAAGATAAGAGAACAATAGAAACAAACAATAACAACAACAAAGGCCAGAAAGATAATACTAGCAATCTAAGAACAAGAAAAATAGATTGAAAACTATAAACTAGAAGAAAATGATTGAAACAAAGAAAATAAGACTGAAACATTCAAGCAAAACCTACTTCAGTTTCAATAGATCAACCAAACATACAATTCTCAATCAGAAAATAAAAAATCAAAAGGATGGAAGAACTGAACAAGTGTCAAAGCTAAAATTAAAACAAACACAATAAAGAAACACAACTACTACCAGATTAAGCAAAACAGTAAAGAGGGTGTTCAATTTTCTAACTAATAAACAAAGTTGTAGTACTAATAGATGATATTTTCTTTCCAGCAATAAAGTAGTACCACAATAATAATAGTGCCAAATGGGTGTTTGGCAACTATAAATAGGTAAATGCTAAGCTATGGTAATGTGGGATAATGGGGGAGGAACAAGGGCTAAACTTTTAATTAATAGCCTAAAGTCATATTTTAATAAGAGACCTAAACTTTTTTTTAATATATATTTATATATAATTTAAAGTTTAAAACCTCTTATTAACATTTGACTATAGGCTAGTGTTGCCTCTCTTTTTTTGTTGCACTTTGTTGTTTATAATGTAGTATGCTTACAAGACATAAAGCCTTTTAAGATCATTACTTAGACTTTCAAGGTTATATTCAAATGAATAAGATGTTAGCCATTGTTTACAATATATTACATTGGATCATGTTGTAGAAAATTTTATTTACTAATATGAAGATTTGAATAGTTTTATTCAAAAGTTCTAAAATATTTTCTGCCTTTTTCTTTTGTTGTACAAATTTTAATATTGTCCAAGCAAAAGTAAACCCTCTCGTAAATGAATTCATTTCATTGAGCCCAACTTTAAACGAATGACAAAAATAAACTACTTCATGAACCATAACAATAATTTTGGACCTTCTCCCTTTAGTCGTTAGAGTGGGGTGTTTTTCTTTTTCTTTTTCTTTTTTTGGTTAATAATAATAGTTTTTATGTCAATTTGTACTCAGTTTGAATTTTTTTTATTCGTTACCGATCATTTCCAACCACCGAGTAATTCTGAACACAAAGCTTAGACAAATAAGATGAAATTTCTAGCATATTTTGTCTTTGCTGGTAGTTGAAGTCATAGTGGAGCTTCTTAGAAGAAAAGCTACAGCCCAGTAATCTGGTTCGAATTAAGAAAGCTTTGTTAATTAATCAAATAAATGAGTATTCGATAATTGAGTAAAATAACTTTTGGGCTTTTTAAGCTTGGTTTAGGTTAAAGAGGTGAATGGGAAATGGAGGGAAAATGGTAAAAATTGTACGGGGTGCTCTATTTGGACACCCTCATTTAACCTATGTCCGGTATTTTAAGTTTTGTGCACAAGTACCCGTTTTATGGTTAAAATTGACTGAAAAAGACTTTTATGCCCTTCTCCTTTTAAAGAAACGCTTGGCATATTATTTCTTCTTCTGCTATCAAGTTTTGTATACGGTCAAAATCATATGCCTTCGATCTATAGACTCAAGGGGTCGTCTTAAGCCTGAGTTCAGGCAAGGTCGAGTTCGAGCCCGATGGATCAGACTCGAACTCGAAAATAGGATGCAATGCCCGAGGATCGAAGTACGATGAATACCGAAGCGAGTATGCTCGACCCCGAAATAATGCCGTTATGGATCTTTAACAGAATGAGCGAGACTCCTGCCATGTTCCCAAAATCATGGCGCAAATCCCGGAATAGAATTGTACGATTCCGTTCTAGGCGGTTAGACAGCTGTCCCGACAAGATTTCTTACTGTAAATGGAAATGTACCTTATTTAGAGTTCCCCTATTATATAAATGGGACCCCAATCATTTGTAAAGATCATCTAATCATCGGCAAAAAATATACTATCTTACTTTTCTGGCTCATTGTTCATCAGACTTGTCTTTTCTCTTACTATTTTTACTTTATCGTTCTTGGTTCACCTCGAGGTCACTAAGCTCGAGGCCGATACTGTTTGGTAACACTATTTTGATTCATTCATTTCTGTCATCTATACTTTATACTTCTTAATTATTAATTGGTGTTGAACTAAATCACATATCTTTAAACCCACAAATCAAATTTTGTTGTTACTCGTATTTTCGAGGTAAACAGTTTGGCGCCCACCGTGGGGCTAAAGATAATAGTGATTATTTCATTACTGATTCTAATTACACACGTTATTTTTACAGTTTTTCTTATCAAGATTTTCTGATTCTCAGGATTAAACATGTCAAACTCGCAAAATGCACCTATTCATGACAGCGAAGGTCTTGGATTTCATGGGGAAAACAACAATGTAGGGGTCGGTGTACCACCGATAAACCCAGGGGAAATGCCAAATGTGGAATCAGTTGATATTAGTTCGCACATTGCCTTGAATGCAGATCTAGGCACAGACCCCGGAGGGAGTGTACGCAGAGAAGCGCGATCTGGAGGCCAAGGAACGCCAGGAATAGGAGATGGGGAGTCAGCCTCCAAGTGATATTCGAGATGCTGCAAGCTCAGCAAATCGCCATCGCACAACTTCAGAGTCAGAACAAAACTCCGAGTATAGCTGAACCGGAAAACACTCTACGTGTTGTATCGATGCTAGAGAGGTCAAACGAAAATGGCTCGGGGACTGAACCCACTATTATGAGAATGCTCGAAGAGCTCACCAAGAGGATAGATTCCGGGAAAAAGAAGATTGAGGACAATGACAAGAAGGTGGAGACTTATAACTCCAGTGTTGATCAAATACCAGGGGTACCCCCGGTCTTGAACGGTTTAGATGCCAAAAGGTTCATATAAAAACCATTCCCTCAAAGCGCGGCTCCGATGCCCATTCCTAAAAAGTTTCGCATGCCCGATATACCCAAATATAACGGGACAACCGACCCTAATGAGCATATTACCTCGTATACTTGTGGGATTAAAGGAAACGACCTGAATGATGATGAGATCGAGTCTGTGTTGTTGAAAAAATTTGGGGAAACTTTGTCGAAAGGAGACATGATTTGGTATCACAACTTGCCTCCTAACTCTATTGATTCGTTTGCTATGTTAGCAGATGCCTTCGTGAAAGCACACGCGGAGCCATAAAGGTGGCAACGAGGAAATAGGATGTATTCAAGATAAAACAAAGGAACGACGAGATGTTGAGGAAGTTCGTGTCCAGGTTTGAGATGGAGAGAATGGAATTACCACCGATTTCGGATGACTGGGCAGTACAAGATTTTATGCAGGGTTTGAATGAGAGGAGTTCGATCGCGTCTCGACAATTAAAGCAGAATTTGATCGAGTACCCAGCTGTGACGTGGTCGGACATACATAACCGTTACCAATCGAAGATCAGGGTCGAGGACGACCAGTTGGGAGCCCCCTCGGGTACAGTTAATCCTAATAGATTGGCAACCAAATCCCCGAGGGATACAGACAGGGAATCAAGATCGAACAAGGGACGGTATCAGCCATATGTCGATCAGAGAAACAACGGTTCGGGTCGTAACTCTCCCCGAAATGATCGGAGAAGCGATCAAGGTCAAAGCTCTCGGGGGCTCATGAGTAAGAGCGGGTTCGATAAGCACACCGACCCCGCGGAGGTACCTCGATTGTCAGAGTATAATTTTAGTGTAGACGCATCAGGGATTGTGTCAGCTATTGGGAGAATCAAAGATACCAGGTGGCCTAGGCCTATACAAATCGATCCTTCTCAGAGGAATCCAAACTTGATGTGTAAGTATCATGGCGCACATGGCCATAGGACCGAAGATTGCAGGCAACTAAGGGAGGAGGTAGCTCAATTGTTCAACGAGGTCCACCTTCGAGATTTTCTCAGCGATCGAGCTAAAAACCACTTCGGGGAGAGAGATGCAAGAAAAAATGAGCAGGAAGAACCACAACATGTAATCCACATGATCGTTGGCGGTGTCGATGTCCTGCAAAGACCTGTGTTCCAACGCACCAAGGTATCGATCACCAGAGAAAAACGGACTCGGAGCTATGTGCCGAGGACGCCTTATCATTCTATGATGAGGAAGCGGAATAAATATCTCAGCCGCACAATGACGCCCTGGTAATTTCTATACTTTTAAATAAATTCAAGTTAAACGTGTTCTAGTGGATCCAGGCTCAGCGAACCTAATCAGATCGAGGGTCGTAGAACAGCTCGGCCTACAGGATCAGATTGTACCTGCATCCCAGGTCCTAAATGGCTTCAACATGGCAAACAAAACAACAAAAGGGGAGATAATCTTGCCAGTCAACATAGCCGGGACCATACAAGAGACAAAATTCCATGTCATCGAAGGTGAGATGAGGTATAATGCACTTCTCGGGAGACCATGGATACACAACATGGGGGCGGTACCTTCAACTCTTCATCAGATGATGAAGTTCCCAACGGAGGATGATGTGAAAACAGTCTACAGAGAGCAACATGCTGCAAAGGAAATGTTTGCAGTCGATGAAGTGACGCCGATACCAGAGCCTTCGACCTCGGAGAAATCAAGCATCAAAGGTAAGCAGGAGGCTAAATAGAAATCACCGCCCCCAGCCTCGACGGAATCGGAGCAACAGGTAGTCGAAGATGAAGAAGAGTATTTCCTTACTCCTCAAACCTTCGTCGTTCCCGAAGAGTCCGATGCAACCAAATCAACTGTCGAGGAACTGGAGCAGGTCATACTGATCGAATACATGCTCGAGAGAAAGGTATACCTGGGAACGGGATTAAACCCCGAGCTCAGGAAAAAACTCATTCAATTTCTTATTGATAATATGGATTGCTTTGCTTGGTCCCATTTAGATATGATAGGGATTCC